TCTGGTGGTTGACTTTCATTGGAGATTTTTTCCCTTTAATTTAGCTTGAGGCAGGTGCATGGTTGCTGATTGTTCTTGAGAGGATTTGTGTCTCTGATATATCTGGGGAAGTTAAAAGATGATGAGTTTTCTTGATCGCCTCCATCTATAGCAAAGAGCAAAGTACATACTGTAATCTTGCATGTAGTGTTTTCAATTTTCAGTGCCAGGACTATCCATTATGGGGTCCAGCAGAGCATTAAAGTCACCTATTGTCATTTTTGAGCTATAAATATACTTGTAAGTGATTCTTTGCCATGATTTATTTCGTCTTCTGGTTATTATCTTTTATTCATTTTTGATGCCTGCCTGTCTCCAGTCCTTCATTCATTTAATTTTCATTCCTTGTGCTGTTTTATATGTGAATGGTTGTCTGTCTCTCTGTGGTAGACAGACTGATGGCCTGTCCAGGGTGTACCCTGGTTCTCACTCCATGGCAGCTGAGATAGGCACCAGCACCCCCACGATGCTGAATTGGAAAAGTAGGTTATTTGGAGTGCGGCATCATGTCTAGTATTTCTGACCCTAAAAGTCTTATTGATGATTTCAGGATACATGCAACAGCTGTTTGTATTGTAAGTTGGAAGGGGAGAATATCAGAAAATGCTATCTTATGCTAACTATGACCCAGTGGAACCCCATTTCCACTTAACAGAAACCGTACTCATACTCATACGTCAGGATTGTTAGATGTTCAGTTTAATGTATGGACTTGAAATTCACTTTAAAGTGAGTTTGTTTTACTTCATGCCATCCAGAGTTCATAAAATTTCATTTTCAGGTTTAAAATGAAATGCAGTGTGGTCATATTTTTATGGAAGAAACTGGAGTTTTGGTAAAGCCACAAATCCAGTCAACACTGTCTAAGGAGCTTGGATACAAAGCAACTGGACTTCTTCAGAATATGTTTCACGTCTCATCTAAGAAGGTTCTTCATTTCTAAAAGCAAATAGTCCCAGGTATTTTAAACCTAGTGCTAGGGGGGTGTCCCCCTACTAGAGGATTGCTGACCCATTATTAATAATATGCCTAATCAAATGAACCAAGATTATCATCAGAGGTTTCATGTGAAACCACTGTGAAACTTTGACTCACCCTATCATTTGACCTATTGAGGTCCCCTGAGGCAAGATGTGAGTGGGGGTTGAGGCACCTGGGAAGAGACATCAAGACTGCATTGTAGGTAGCAGACAGTTGGTGTCGTAAGCCACCCAGTCTGACTGCCGTTCACAGTGCACGTAGACGGCTTCTTTCACTCCTCTTTCAAACCACCTGTCTTCTCATTCCAAAATGTGAACACTGGCTTCCTCGAAAGAGTGACCTTTATCTGGTACTGTACACAGACATCCAGTCATCACAAAAACGCACTTATGTGAGTGGAAAGTTCTGTAGATAACCTACTAACAATGCACTGATCTACAAAGAAAGATGCAGTCAGTTCATTCCAGTAACAATCATTCCAGCAAGAGCAGCACAAATATTAGGTCATAACAAACGGCTTCGATGCAGGTATCCCACCAATCTACTTACCAAATAGCACAAGTTTTATGTTCCTAACCGAATTGATATGTTTTTTTTAAACGTTTTTGCAGCTGTTCTCTGGACAAAACTGATAGGGACTCATCCTCCCTTAATACAAATTGTGCCAAGGTGTGATGTCGCAATCTGAAAACAGCTGATCTATCTGGCATAAGGAAGAAAACACACAGCTTATCATCAGATCTTGACGCAAACGGGCGCGTCACTGCAACTCCCCCTGGCTTCTGCTCCGCGGCTGCTGAGTGAGCCCTCATCTGGGACTCTCCTCAGCTCTTTCCGGGACAGTGGCGCAGCTGCCCCTCTGTTGGTCTTCCTTGGTCTCTTGTGTTCTGGGGGCCTCTGGATGTCTGGAGTTTGATCTCTTCCACACCTGCTTCACGCCCTGGAGGACGGGGCTGTGGCCCCCCCACACCCTCTAGCAGATTATTACATGAAGGAACCTTTTAAAAAACAATAATAACAATGATATATTCCCATATATCATTGTGATGTTGTTTATTCTATTACTCTTGTTCTCTTCTGCTTGCTTTCTTTTTTCTTTCTCAGCAGGTGATCCAGGTGATTGATATATGCATTTTTTTTCTCTGCCCGTTCTGTTGGTTTTTGTCTTTTGCCCTTCTCCCCCGTCCCTCTTCTCAGCTGTTTCTCTTTCCCTCTTTCTTTCTCCCCTTCTTTCCCCCAGTCAAGTCTGTCCCGTATTCAGTAAGTGAAAATAAAATAAACAATAAAAGGTGAATCAAATGGACCATTACGGCAAGGCTGGGATGGTCAATTTGGTAAAGTAAATCCGTTGGGCATCTTTCTTTGCCTTTAGACAACAATTCTGATGCAAAAGAGCCAAACGGGACAGGCCAAAAAAAAGAGAAAAAAAAAGAAAAAAAGATCTTGACGCAAACATGTTTGATTAAAGTTACCGTTCTATCGTGTGCCACGTGAGTACCTCGGAGGTTGTAGTTACTTATTAAAGTAAATATTACTCCGACACACTTCAGACCTAAGCCTGAGTATTTGCTGCATTTTGAGAGACATTGCTACTTGGTTTGAAACAGATGGATGAGAAAACCAGTCTGTCATGTTTTAATTCTTTACTAATCTTTGTGTGGAAATGGGGTTAAAACCCGAAATGCCAGATTTCAGTCAGCTTCCTGGAAAACACAAGATGTCTGCCTGCACAGGTTTAACAACTCTGTGACAGGCCCAGGGGCAGATGTTTCGCTGTCTTTTTTTCACCTACCACCAAAGTAAACAAGAGTACATAGCTAAGTCTCTCTTTCTCTCTCACACATACATGCACACAGTTCATGCTAAGATAATAGTGAATAGTAATAATCAACTATATTAATAACATGATTCTAGCTTTTGATCAACACCAGTGGTGGATCGGCCAATTCTGGTATTCTATGGCAAATGCCAACTGGGCTTCATGGTGCTAGGCAGTGAGCACAGGGCTAAGTAGAAGATGTTCGGCCCTCAAGCCACCCTCACAAAGTCTGCGTCTTACTGTTTGGTCAGAGACATTTACACCAGTGGTCATTTAGTAACTCTGGTAATGTTCCTGTTCCTACTTGGACAAAGGAGCAGATACCAGTCCTGCTGATGGGTTAAGGGCCTTCTACGGCCCAGTCTAGCTCTCCTACTGTAGCTATTTGTCTGTGCTGGGAGGCCCAGCAAACCTTCTGGCAATGGCATGTATTTATGTGCCATCCTAGAGGAGTTGGATTCCCTGTGCAACCTCTGTCGTATCTAAGTATCAGCTCATGTTACAAGTAGTGACACTGCCCCTAGCCAAATGCAAAATTAGTGAAAAAACAATCAATAAAGATGAAAAACCATTCCTGTTTTGGGGGTTGTATCCTCTAGTGCACCTGCTATTAACTTCATCAGCACCAGAGCAGCTGGAACTGATTAACGACCCCCTCTGCTACTTAGCCGACCAAATCAATATCCCAGATGTTTAGAAGTGTCTCTTGAATTTTTTGAGCAGTGTATTTCCTCTGACATCAAACCTTTTCATAAATTTTTAATCCACTCTTTTAATCATTTGAGTGTAAAATGACTGAGAAAATACAGAACAAGTTTAATTGACCACCACCAAATATAAGGTTTATGTCACAGCTGCCCTACATTAACAGTATTGATCATTACCAAAACATTTCTCATATTTCATTGAAGGTTAATTTACCAGTATGGACAGTTATATTTGTAATGCTAAAATGTAATCATTATTGTTATCGATGACTTTTCATAACTACTTTTCTACAAAAAAGCAGACAAAAAGAAAAAGCACATTATTATTGTAAGGTGCCAAATTACAGTTGAAATCCTAACAGAAAAAATTGTTTTCGTTTTTGACTTCCCAGATAAGTCCAATGTTCCGGCTCACATTTCAGTATAAAAACGTGAATTCAGTTAGTTATCTGCCTAATTAATACCATTAAAGTTATTTAGCTTTAAACTGGTTTTTGACATAAAATTTCTGAAATATTTGTGTTTTTTGTGTTACACTTGGTGTTCCCAGAGCTACAGTTCAGTACTGCATAAATGCTTTCTTTACGAGCTAAAGCCACGACATAAGTATCCGGTGTGATGGACCTCATTAGGTAACCTATTGTTGGTCATTCTGACTGGGCTCCTTCTACCGGTCCCCCCAGTCCAGCCGCCCAGTCAGATGTTACGCCCTTGGCGCCTGTCATAACCCATATAAGGCGTATCTCTGCATCTTATATTAAGATCCTCTTCCCGCCTCCTTCACAGCGATGCTCATCGCTGTTTTATCAGAATGTCAGTGTTACTGAAAATCAGAAAGATGTGGAGCTCTGATTCCAAAGGTTTCGGTGAGGACAGAGCCAACGCTTTGGCGTCACGCCCGCAACTTTGACTCATCCACGCACGCCAGTTCCTCACTTCATCTCATAATAGCACATTCCAAATGCATGACCACTCCTAATGGAAATCATAACAATCACATAAAGGAACATAAAACATCTATTGTTACTGTTGTTGTTTTTTCGGTGTTAATTACAATGAATTGCCTGGCGCGAACTTTGGGTTAGGGCAACTTGACCTGTCGTTTTTCTGCCCACAGCTTTTTAGTTCAGAGGTCACGAGGTCACTAGAGAAAGCAAACAACAACAACAACAACAACAAACAAACAAACAAACAAACAAACAACCCCAACACGCTCACTTTAAAGAAAAAACACACATACTTGAGACATGTATATGAATATGAAATACATGCATATGAATAGAGAAAGCTTCCGTTCCGTCAGTAATGGGAGTCCTCAGTATGCAGCAATACCACATATATTTCCCCGGTGAAGTGAAAGCAGTGTGGGATCATTTTTTTCCGCATTAGACAATGACCTTTCCAGTTGCCGCACCTTCACTTCAATATTAACACAAAGTTGCGGAGTGAACCGGTGCGTCCGGATTCTTCTGTCAGGTGATCTCATGTTTTCTAAAAGGATTTAAGACATGAGAGCTTCTCGGAGCTTTCAGAGATCAGCTGTGACCGAACATCCACCTCAGAGATTTCTAATCGTCAAACACAAAAGGTAAGACATTTTATTTATTCGTTTAGTTTCGTTCCCATCCACATGAGCTCAGACTTTATATATTAACCACAGTAAAATTATAAATATAACGAGCAGCAGTTTACTGTTTTAATTTAAGAAAGTAATGATATTATAGGCCTATTAATAACCAACATGTTGACAAGTAACAATTTAAAAGCAGAGGAGCTCTTTAATGGTTATTGAGAAAGGCTGGGAGTGTAGTGAACATTTACCAGCTTTCCTGAATCACACACCTGATTGTAAGAGGACTTGCAGTTGGAATTTTTCACCTTGCTCTTTCTTTTAGGCGCCATCATGACTTCTAAAATGGTTGTTCGGCAACCTCAGCCTATGATGTATTCCCAAGAGTCTGATGAGTGGTCAAGTGGGATCTGTGACTGCTGTCAAGATGTGCCAGGGTGTAAGAGTCTCTTAATTATCTTCAAAGTTTATAGAGGACTTTTGCTCTGCAGTGATCGTCACACATGTGACAAAGGAACTTATTTTGCTCACTCGAAGGGAAAATATTTATTCCTAATAATCAAATTTTTAAAACAGTAGGAAACAAAATCAAAACAAACAACAAACAAACAAAAATGCTGTTTTCGTATTTCCTTATCTATAAATAACATAAAAATGAATCAAAGAGTGTTTTTTGTTTTCTGGACCTGAACCTCCTGATGAAATCCAGGAAGCCACACCTACATAAGAATTAAGGCCGTAGTATGTTTTTTTTAATGTGGTGAGAAAGGCATTGGTCCAAGAAAGAAAAAAGGATTTATTAACATCCTCATATTTTCATTTGTATTTTCAAACACGTGGTGTGCGTCATGTGATTGGTTGTTTTAATCAGACAAAAAATGACAAAAGATAATTGTACTTCCGTCATACTTAGGTGTTATTTTCAAATTTAACTCATAACTTCTACATACCCACATGCACAACTATAGCACTCACACTTATTTTTTCCAAAGACATAATAACCCCGTTTACACTATTTTCAAAGATCTGATTTGTTTGGCATTCATTTTCATTTCATTCTCTACAAAAGGGAATTTCTATTCTAATAACGATTAGCGTCTTTTAAGAGCACATGCTCGCCTTTTTTCTACATTAACTCACTGTGTCCTTGCATAATTTCAGCATCATAATGATGTTAGATCTTATTTCTTCTGAGTTATTACTTAAATGGCCAAACCGAAATGATGATAGGACAACTACAAGACATTTTATTTTCAGTTTAAATCAATAATAATGCTACTTAGATTTAAATCAGACGTCTTTCTGATACATTCTACATAAATAGCGCGGCTTATTGTCCTGTTTTCTTTATTAAGCATTTCAGGATTTTACGTGAGTGTGTGTAGTTGAGTGTTTTCCTGGTTTCGCAGTCCATATCATTTGCTTTTCTCTGTATCTTTGCCTCTTTCAGGCTGTTGTGCTTTCTGGTGCTTGCCCTGCTTTGCCTGCATAACTTCGAGAGATTATGGTGAGCCTCTCTGCCTCCCCCTGCTGGAGATTTTCAGTGGTTTTATCCCGGGAATCACCATGTCCATGAGGGTCAACATGAGACAGCGCTATCGCATCAGGGTAAGGCCAATGTTTTCAGCTTTATACAGTTAGTTCCCGAGATGTTTGGACCAATATAATTAAATACATCATTTGAGAGATTTTTTTTCTTTAAGCAGGTAACAGCAGGTGACCTATTAATAGTCATTAAGTCAATGGTAATGGTCTTATAGCTAGAACTGAGCCAAATAAGCAGAGTTTTAGAAACTAGAATATATTTGCTTTCAAATCAAGTCTGAAACCTGCATTTGTCCTTCTAGTATCAGATTTCGGTTTGGGTATGATCTTGAAAAGGTCAGTGCTGACCTGGTGGATGTTAATAGGTAAAGATACAAAAACAAAACAAATCCATCTGACAGATAGCAAGAACATTAGAAGGAAAGATGATCCTGAGCAGAATGACTAGAAAATATAAAGCATGAAATAGTCTCGGAAGAGCTCATGATCCCATTAAACAGCTGGATGTTGAAATGTGCAGAGTTACAAAGTAGATTGGATGGTGCTCAACCCTAAAGATGGGCACTGTTTTTCTTTTTTTTTAGGTCAGAAAGTGGAATATTGTACAATTGCTGGCAAATTCAATGAAACGTTTTGAGTTTTGATGACTTTTGTTGGTCAGTCTGGTAAAGGTAAACAGTGTATTGCAGCATAATAATCAGGAACTGTAGAAAACTCACCTTAAGGAACAATAACTCCAAAACCAATTCAACAGAGTGAAAAGCAAAAGGTTAAAAATGCAAGACTTTTCAGTCCAAACTGCTAAAACACAACCAAACTGTAACCGCACATCAAAAAACCTGATTCATCTCTTTTCACAGGAAAAATCATTTCCATATTAATGTAGAAACTGATCAGGTTGACTGTTTGTTAACCAAACGTGTCTGTATTTTATCTGCAGGGCACCATGTGTCGGGATTGTGTGCTTTCGACTTTCTGTTGCGCCTGCAGCTGGTGTCAGATGTCCAGAGAAATGAAGAGTAGGAATGTTTCAGTTGTTATGGTCGGTGCCAAAAACACATAACCTCTTCGCTCTTCATCATCACCACCTGGGCTGCTGGTTACTTAATACAACACCATCTGCGTGGAATGTCAGTAACATTTTACACCGATGACTTCTTTGAGGAAGAGTAGTGTTCACGTCACTGACAGAAACGTGTCTGTAAATATGACTTTATTAAAGGGAGACGGGATCGTGGCTTGCTGACTAAAACATTATAGAAATCTCTTAATAAATGTTAAAAATATATAATGACCTTTGTCTTGAATTTTAATCTTTTTTTTTCTTGTGAGTTTGCTTACATACACAACACTAATGGTTGCATTTAACAAGTCACAATCTACGTTCACAATAAGCACTGGGATTCAAAAATTTGTATAAAAAACTGAAGAATGTATTTTTTTTATCCTGCTTGCAACTAAATAAACAAATAGCACAGAAATAAAAAGAGAGCATGGAGGTTTTATTTATTTATTTATTTATTTATTTACGTTTATCACCAATAAAAAATAACCACAGTATGTTCAGAAAGCAGTTAATTCTGTGAATGTCCTCTGCGCCAGGGTAAGACTCCACCTCAGGCTAAAGACACACTGCACAGGAAGGTGACGCGGGCTCCTTTAAACACTTGTAAAAAAGTGACACGGCCACTAGAGGGAATCAAACTCTTTACAATGAGTCCAACAGCTCGTTAAGGCTGAGGTCAAAGTGGGTCACACAGGATCAGACTGACTACAGCATCGCCACTCATGTTTCACCTTACAAGCTGTGCCACCTGTGTGTTCAGGAGGAGAAACACGACATATAAAAACACCACACAATGTAAGATATTTCAGTGTAGTTGATAAATCTTTGTTTTACCTCTGCAAAGTTGTGGAAGTCAGAAATGAAGCTGCAAACAATTTCATCACTGTCAGTAAGTCAATGTAGAATAAAGATAAAGTTTAGAATAGAAGAATTTTGCTTGTCTACAGGAAAAGATGCAATATTACAAGTTTAAACTAAACTGTTACTTTCCTTGAAAATGATCCTTGCCTCAAGATTTCTTCAGGTAACAGAAAATTAACACAAATACAAGTTTTTAGTGATTTTTTTTTCACTCCTGTATGTTACAGATATGATATAATTTTAATTTACTTGATCAAAAATTGTATTTATAAATGATCTCATACCCACGACTTTGAGTTGGATAAGCGGATTAAAATGGATGGTTGGAATTATCTCGGAATTTTGTCTTCCCAAAGTCTCAGTGTAATTTTTCCCTTCTGAAGCCTGATAATGGGTTTCTGCATTGTCATAGTTAACACCATTAACAAGTTAGCATTTTGTTTTAAATGTTAAATGTAGGCTTTCTCTGCCTTGAGCTGAGCATAAACAGGTGTTTCATGGATCCAGAAAACCTTTTAGTCTCTTTAATCCTGTTATTTTGGCTTTAAAAGCACCATTTTTGTTGTTGCGTTATCCATTTAAAGGCCTTATGGATAAACCACCTGACTTTAGCAGGTCATAGATCTGTGCTGCTACTACTTTCTGTACATGGTAAAGAAAAAATTTAGCTGCTTTGTATTTTTCTTTAGTCTTTATTTATGGCTCCTGGAATCATTAGCGAGTGTTTTAGTCTCCTTTAGCTTGTTGTTTGGTTTTAATTTCACAGGACAAGCCGGACAATTTAGCAGCCAAAGAGACAGATGATTTTTCTCAAAGGTCGATAAACACAGCTGAACAATGACAGCAGTAAAACAGAGAGGATGCTGGACCTAAAATACATCACAAGGGCATTTTAGCTTGTATTTAGCAGCTTGTTTTGGTCTTTTTCTGCTCTAAACATGTCCAAATTGATTGATTCAGCTTTAAACTTGTGACATCTGCACTGCATGGTCACCTCGGTGTTTGCCAAGACCAATTACATTCAAAGGAGGATGAAGAAATAGCGCTTTAGCCCCTTTTGCTTCAGTTGTGGAGTCTATCATGTCATATTTTGTCAAATTACTCCCAATAAACTTTCCCACTTGTTTAGTCCCATTTGTGTTCCAGCAGGGACAATCCTTCCCCACTCCTGGCAAACGTGGCCCTGGTGTTCACTGTAAATTGCTCAGTGGTTTGTTTTTAATGGGATTATAATGACAGTTATGGTTTGCAAGAATTGATGTTTGTGACTTTTATGAGGTGTGAGTGAAGGGGCGGGTCCAGGCGGCTCATAAAGGCTGCAGGAATGTTAATTGGTCGAGGGCAGTGCTGCCCTCTTTGTTCTGCTCTCTCATACTGGGCTTCTGTTGCGCCCGTTAAAGGCCAAAGAACTGATTTAAAATCTGTGACTTTAACCCCACACACCCTATACTTCCCCCTACACACACACACACACACACACACACACACACACACACACACACACACACACACA